CACCCGTCTTTTTTTTTTTTAAAGGTGCACACAAACTGCTTTTCTTACCCTCCCCAACCAGAGAAAAGAATGAAGAAAAAAAAAAAAAAACACAAAATCAATCTAAGAAAAAAAAATCGACATAAAGAAAATAAAGATGTTTTTTCATGCACATATCTTCTGCATAGCTCAACCCACATATAGTAAGGCACTATTTCCCTTCGTAACTGGTGTCCACGGCAATCTCTTAAGTGCTACAGTGCTCTGTGACCATCAGAGAGTTCCTTTCAGGATGGTGAAATAAAGAGGCCGGATGAGTGTGGCTGTTATGCTTCTCTGTGACTGTCCCAAAGCTCAAGGGGACTTCCAGGAGTCTTGGAAGGAAATTGGTCTGTTGGCATTATGATCGAGAGTGTCTGAAACAGTGTTCTTTCCACAGTTCCTAGTTTGTCTGTGTAGGAGTTTAGGTTATTCTTCAGTCTTTATTCTCAAAGAAAATACAGAAGGTGGGGGGAAAAGCATGGTCAGGTCTTCAGAAACAGAGTTCACTGCTCCCAGAAAGAAGAGAATGCTGACAATTCACAAATTCAGCAGGATGTTTCCAGGAGAGCAGAGACAGAGGGAGAGAGACCGAGACAGAAAGAGTGAATGTGTATGTTTTGGTTTTGAGAGGTGATCGGAGTCTGAGTTTAATTTAGCTGGTCCTCATACTGTTTCCGGAAACAGTCCCCTGCTGGGAAAAATTCCCAGCACCTTTCTTGATACATCTTCCAGACATAAGATTCCTGGAAAAGTAAAGGAAATGTATTAATATCAGGTTTTTCCCCCCAAATCTGGGCATCACCACAAAACAGAAGACAGAAAGAAACGCAAATTTGTTGCATGTATATATCTAGGTAATTGTGTGATTATGCATAATTTACATGATTGGAAAAGCCCATATTCATTTAGAGTGTTCTTAACCATACCAGACCTCACTTCTATTAATAATCAGTCTTCATCTGGACCATAATCTAATTATGATTAAAAGAACTCTTAAAATTATATACCACAAATAAGTTTTTTTAAAGACATTACTATTAATTGTATCCTTCAAATTCAAACTATTAACAACTGGAGGCAAATATCTGCAGAGGGAGAATTTCAAATACTTAAGGAGAACCTTAGACATTTCATACAAAATTATTTTTAACTGACCCTCATAATGTGGGTTGAAGTTCATCTGAAATCATCTGCTGATTAAGCAATCACAAAGACATTATACTTAGCAAATCCCAAACTCAGCATGTTGAGCTAATAAAAGCTTAAAATTTTTATGTGAACTTACAATTTTACCCTTTCTACAAAGGCGATTTTTGGACACTCATCCAGGATAACAGGAATTTCTTTAGTAATACTACGACTAATATCTGAAAGTAATTCCAACTCTTCGTATTTCATGCACACATATGCCCACCGTGTATGGATTCTCTGTCACTTCTTTCAGAAGATGGTGTGTGGTCACTGTTTACCTACCTGTCCTGTGTGCTCTGTTTCATCTTTGTTTATGAGATACATCAGAAAAAACCTACAGATACAGAGAGACTAATCAGAAATGGATGGAATGGAAATGTCAAATACACAGATAATTCTGATTGGGCTACAAGCTATCTCTTCACTCTGTCGGGAGGCCAAAGAAATGGAACAAATGGCAAGGCAAAAAAACCAGCCAACCAACCAAACAAACATGCCATGGGAACCAAAAACTTAACCTTTTTTAAAAGTTTTTTTTTTCAGAGGAGCTAAAATGTGTGCACAGATCATGTTATTCCTCTTGAGAGCTGCTATCTGCCACGCTTGGTGCCATATCCCACCTTCAAGGGTATCCATATTTATTCACTCAGGGGCCAGGAATCCCAGTCCCCACTTAGAGAACCAGGGATCAAAAAGTTTAAATAACTTGCCAAATGCCTCAAGGCTGTGAATTCCAAAGCCTGCTTTTTTTTTTTTTTTTTTTTTCTTCCCTTTTTGCTACAATGCTACTCTGCATCTCTTCTGTTTGATACTAAAACTGGGTTAGAAAGTAAGAATTCTATTTTACCAAACCGCAGTTTGGGCTAGTTGTAAGCAATAGATTTCTGTGTGTTTTGTTTTTTTTTAAATGAAGCTTTTGACTCTGTTAAAATATAGTGCCTAAAGAGATAATAGTGCCTCAAGAGATCTGTAGGTTCTCAGAAAAGAAAAATGGAGATTTATAGATCTCTAGGAAGCAGCTGGAGTCTTCCTACTTGAAATGGGAAACATGGCCAATGCTCTCTGAGAGGCTAAGCATGTATTCCACTTATTCGAATTTTTCCATCTTTCCATTTCATGTTCTAGAAGGTATCGTTCACATGAATGGCTGCAAGTTCTTTTCTTAGGTGTACCTCCTCTTGGGGACAAGAGAACCACTAGCTGTGGGTCTTTCTCTCAAAGCCTGAGCCCAGTTGTATAAAGAAAAGGAAGCCATAGCTCTCTTCTGTTCCTGAGAGACAGGGAGAGGCTGAAGAGTCCGAGACAGGCACACTCACAGGTAATTGGCCAGATTGTGTTCCTGTAAAGTGTGAGTTTCAAAGCCGTGTGGTACTGTGTCGAAGTAATCGTTGCCTATCCCACAGATAAAGCATTTGGTCTAGAAGACAAAGGGAAATATTAAAATGTCAGATATCAAAAAGCAAAACAAAGGAACACACAACTCCCCAATGGGGCAGCTGTTTGGTTTACTCTGTATTGTATAAGGTCATGAGGGAAGACTGTGCTAAGCACATGAGTATTAATGTAACTGTGGCCTCAAGATACAGCCCTGTATCTTGCTGGAGGCTTAAAGGACATAGGTACCAGCGACAAGTAACAGATGGAGAAAGAAGGGTCCATAATGATGGTGGTAAAGCTCTGTCTTTTCCTTATTTTCTCTCCCCCAAGTGAGAATGCCCAAGACTTAGCGATCACTCTTGTTCATGACATTGACTGAAATTAGGTAGGTAGGTGTGTCCTCAACGAAGACCACAAACTTGGTACCTACCTGAACAAAGTCTGATGACCCAGGGGAGAAAGGTACAGATGACTCACATTTGGGGAGGGCCAAATCAAATACCAGGCTGTGGGGTGTTCAGTCCACGCCTGAGAAGGTCTGCCGTGTGCCAGGCACCGTGCTAGATACAGAATTAACCAGTGAACAGGTACTGGGGTAACTTTCTACTCTAGAGATAGGATGCTGCTCCTTCTGCTCCCTGCTCGTTCGCACCGCATCTCTTAGAGCGGCACCTGCTTAGGTCTGCCATCCACGGGACTGGCATGCAAGACCCCCCAAGAAGCAGGCTTTCTGTTTTATTATTAGAATTTTTTATGTATCAACTGGAGTGAATTTAATCATTGTGGCCTTCATGTGGCTCCAGATGCTCATCTTCCTTGCAAATTAGAAACTATTTAATATCACTAAAGGCATATTTACGATGCCTTAGATTTTAGGGCCTCGACTAGAGGTGATTTAAGATAATTTATTGAATTCTCTCTGCCTTATTGATCAACGACTGTGGACAGCGATAGGCCACATTCAGCAGTAGGTCTTTACGGCACTCGATGGGCTCACACATGACAGCTCACCCATGGACTTGCCCTTCCTCTGTTACCTCTCGTAGTTACTCTGGGTGTAACTGAGCCACCATCTGTCTGGTAGCTCACGCTGGAATTCTGGGAATCGTTCCCGCTTGCTCCAAACCCCTTGTCCTCTGCATCTTGCCAATCACCCACTTGTCACACCGACTCCAAAGTACTGCTTGAATCCGTTCTGGCTCCTACATCTTTGATTTCTTCAGCAGGAGCCTCATAATCTCTGCCTGAAAAAAATGCTCACAGCCCACTTCTCTGGCCCTGATCTTCCCAGTTGCTAATGTACTCCCTACGTTTTAAGCCATAGTAATCTTTGCAAAATGTAACCCCCCCCCCCCCGTAACCTGCTTAAAACCCATTTCTGGTTTTCCACAGCCTCTAAGTTCTATAAAGTTCTCCTCTGAGTTATTAGAAAGGACTCAACATAGGGCTCTGCAGTTGCCTGCTTACTTGTCAGTGAATCCATCATTTTGAATGGGTGGTTCTCCCTCTCCTTGAGGGGTTGATGGTGCCTTATTACTTTGCACACACCTGGAGCCCCACAGTTCCCGCCTAGCAAACTGGTCAGTGGTATGCACTGCCTGGATCGGAAGCAGGCTAAGGCAGTCCCCTGTTGCTTATGTCTTCCACCTACTTTCTCCCACATTTATGAATCTTGGATAAAGACAGTAGGGGAGACAAGTGCCCACAGCAACAAAGCCGAGTCAGCCACAGAAAGACTCACCTCCATGTCTTCTTTGACTTGCTCCTGTTGGTCTCTTAGTTCTCCAAAAGCATCGATAATTAAACCTAGTGTTCAATAAAAACACACTCTAATCTTTATCAACCAGAGAAGAATAATTAAATTCACAGCCCCTTGGCTAATCCTTCCAAGGACAGGGAAAATGTACAGCCATGCCGGGAGAGGTTCAGTGTGGCACAGGTTGTGAGCACACACCCGATACTCCTCCCAGGGCAGCAGCCTTCTCTCTGGGGGCAGGAAAGGGGTTTCAAAATGAAGGGACAGAGCAGGAAAAACCCTTTGTTACCTTGGCACACAGAGGATAGGTTTCCTGCTACTTCACTGTGAGAAAGAGCACTTGTGATTTCTGGTTGGAAAGTGCCAAAAACTCCACTAATGAGATTTTCGAGTACCAATTTGGAAATCAAACATTACCATATTAACTGAGGAACGTGCCTCAAATCATTCTTTTCACAAATTCCTGACAGATAAACTCACTAGCACATTATTAACCGTGTCAGCCAGAAATTTACTGCCCTGCGCTATTTTCCCTCAGACCCTTTTCCTTCTGGGACTCACGGGCTGCACCTCTTCCAAGGGATTTATGAGTTTGCTCTCTTATAAAACACATCATTGTTACACTCAATGAAGACAGGATGGACTATGAATCCTTTAAACTTGTTCGTGTATTTTACTGGAAAAAAATTACAGTACCGTTTTGTGCCTGTACGACCTGGAGGATAATATCATGTTCACAGACATTTAATTCAAGCCAGGATCAATGGATGAACAGAAAGAGGTAAGTAAGAGTGATTTTTCTGAGGGAGGAAAACACCACATCGCAAGCGTCCCTGGAGTGAAGGGAAGAACTGGGGGGTCAGTATGGCATTCAGCTTTTAAGTGAGGGCTCTGGGGCCAGACACCCTGCCTGGGTTTGGATTCCAGCCCTGACACTTCTTAACTGTGTCCTTTGGCCAAGTTACTTAGACTTGTTATGGCTCAGTTTCTGGAAATGTAAAAACCACATTCTCACTGGGTGTGTGAGGGTAGAGTTCATACCTGTGGCAGGCACGTAACAGATACCCAACAATGGTAGCCTTAAGATTATTTAGGAAGCACAATCTTGAATTAGGTACTATCTGGATACTTGTGTATAAATATCACTTCTTTTAAAAGAAAAAAAAATTTTCAATCATCTACTGTAGCTTAGAGATTTATATAATTTGCATCTGAAAGATCCAAAGGAGTTAAACTGCTCACCCACCCAACACTGTGTCAGTAAGTGGCAGGGCAGAGAGTCAAACTGAGGGAAGTGCTTCTTTTATCAGGTTATGGGAAAAGAGCCCCATACCCACCTTCCCCTACACCCAGGGTCCCATGCTTTTTTGATTTTCCTTCTACAGACTTTGAAGGAAGAAATCCTGAAAGGAAAAATTCTATTTGGCTTATGCAGAGAGCACTTGACATTCCTACCCCACCTTAATGTTAACTTAAACAACAGGTGGCTCAAATTCTAGATCCTCTGGTGCTTCAGTGAAGACAATGCTTACCTTGTATTATGGCCAAGAGAATGACAATCACGAAGAAGAAGAAGGTGATGTCAAAGATGATTCGATAGATCTCATATTCATCGCCTGCTGGGTCTTCGATTTCATCACCGATCCCTCCTCCAGCACGTACCCCGACATACATGTGGAACATATAGCACTGGAAAGGAGAGAACGGTCACTGCTTGAGGAACACTGCAAACCTAAGATTCTCCCTCTAGTTCCTAATCCTCACTCTGGAAGTGGTGAGAACCTTTGCATTCTACGTTGCGTCTTTTTGTTTCAGTATCTGTGATTGTGACGCAAATACTTGGCTCCTACACTCCGCTGCCTTTTAAACAAAACCCTGCACTGCACACTCTGCTTAGCACCTTCTGTCACACTTTGCGGAGAATGAAAAATACCTCACTAGCATCTGGCATAAGGTGATCCTATTAAGATCACATTAAAGTCCACAAATCTATGTTTAATCACTCTGTTCATGTTTTTAGCATAATAGACATAGGGAGGAGGAAGTAAAAGTAAGTGTATAATCGGATGGAATCTCAGAAATTTAAACTAGAAAAAACCAAACTCCATAACCCTCAACATCCCCTCATCTGTCATGTGTGGAATGTGATGCTGAAATTTTTCTACTCGAACGTGAATAATAATGAAGAGAGGAGAGGCAGGGAAGAAATAACAGCTCATTGTTTAAAGTGTGAAATATTAAAGCAACCAGTAATAAGTACAGCTTCAAGTGCCTGCTGCAGAACAGGGAGGGGTTTCTCAGCATCAGCCCGGTTGACATTCTGGGCCAGATCACTCTTTGTGTGGGGTCTGTCCTATACGTCATAGGATATTTTTTTTTCATCATGGGATATTTTAAAAGGATCTCTAGCCTCCACCCACTCAATGCCAGTCGCACCCCATCCTGCAGATAACCAAAAGTGTCTGCAGACATTGCCAGGTGTCCCCTGGGGGGCAAAATCAGAACAGTTGAGAATCAGTGGCTGTAAGCATCCATGGTTGATCTTTATTCAGGGTAATTTCATACTCTCCATGTTGGGGCCTCAGATACAGTGACACTTAACCCCTCTCTGGTGATCAGTCATGGCTCCCAAATACCACCCTCCACCCTAACCATGCCCCTCAGATAAACTATCCCAAATTCTAGATCTTGGTTTGCACATGCTCCTTACCTTGAAAAATCATTCCACGTTTGTTTTTTTTTTCCCAAAGATTTTCAAAGATTTTATTTATTTGACAGATCACAAGTAGGCAGAGAGAGAGAGGAAGGGAAGCAGGCTCCCTGCTGAGCAGAGAGCCCCATGTGGGCTCCATCGCAGGACCCTGAGATCATGACCTGAGCCGAAGGCAGAGGCTTTAACCCACTGAGCCACCCAGGTGCCCCTCACTCTACATTCTTATGCATTCCTTTCATCCCTTCTACCCTCAGTGAATAACCCTCCATGAGACTTTCTTAAACTGTTCCAGACACTCTGATTTACCCAACTGATGTCACCCAACAGTGCAAGACACATTTACCCACTGTCTGCCATAATGAAGGGAGCAAAGGCCTTGAAAGTGTTCTCTTGGGGAAACATCACAATCCCCTGAATTTCTTCTACATTTCTGGCCATTCCTTCTGAGCCTCCTTGGCCACTTCTTCATCTCCCTGTCTTTTCATGAACCAGTGCCCTAGAACTGGGTTCTCTGACCTCTGTTCTTTTAGGACACTTCCTAGGGGAATGTGCCCAGGTTCATACTTAAGTTCTCATCTCTGCGCTAATCACTTAAATACATTTCTGTTTACATCATGGGTCTCCTTCCTGAATTCCATCCAGACTTGTATCTCCAATTCACCTAGTTTTGGTGCTTTATGATCTCTCCCACTCAACTAGGATTGGTTTCATTACAAGAACTATTTTGGTTACTGCTCTATTATCAGTTCCTAGAAGAAGGTCAACACATGATAGGAACTTACAAATCACTTGTGGGATGAACAAGGAGTGAAAAATCATGACTGATCAGTGTTCTCATGGAGACTTCACTGCCTCAACCTATATAAACCTCAGATTCTCAGATCACCTTAAAAAGCACGAACTGCAGTCATAGAACCGGCAGCAAGGGGACACCACAATGCTCAATAGTTCAACAGCTAATAGTGATATAGCTAAAAAGTTTCCTGGGTCAGATGCCTGGAATTTAATGAACAAAATTTTTAAAAAACTGGGTCACTCAGAAAGGAAGTTTGTCAGCCTGGCACACAATGAACAGAGTATATCACAAGGCAGCTCTACACCCACCCCTACCCCTGGCCAACCCAGAACTGTTCTGGAGCTCAGGTATGGGGCCGCTCTTGCAGAGAGGCCTAGAAAGCCAATCTTTAGAGCCCAATGAGACCAGTGGTGCCTAAACTAAACTACGCATCTGTATCACCTACAGGCATAAACACTGGGAATTCCTGGTACTCCCTACTGAACTAAACTCTGGAAGTAAAATTTTGAAGACCATCTCTTAAAAAAATATCCCTCGGGACATTGCATTAATTTCCAATAACTGTCTAAAGCAGTGCTTGAAACTCAGAACAGTGGATCTATAGGAAGAGGAAATTTTATTTTCACTATATACTCTTGCATACTGTTAGGATTATTTTTACCATAAGCATTTTTATTAAGAAAAAAGATCAGGCTGTATATTTTTCTCTAAATCTGTCTTCATATGTGCTTAGTTGTGGGCATGGGAAATAATTATTGCAGCTGCCTACTCTTTACTTAGTGAACTAACATAGGCCATCCTTTCCTGGCTTCACCATACTTAGCCAGGTATGTAACTCCTCTGTGGGATGGAGACTCAGTTCTGACACTCTGCCTGGCTCTGGTCTAGCACTTCTCCATATCCAGTTCTGGCCCTTTGGCTGCCACACTCCTGCTATATCCATATTGGGCCAACAGTGTAACACTGCAATGCCCATCCAGGTTCTGTAATGTCCTAGCTCTCCAAGTCCTGCTTCTTTGACAAGTAGGGGATGAAGATCATCTAGCTCCTTACTTTTAGTAAATCTTGCTAACCAAGACTTTGGATTATAATTTGGCTTCCAATATAGAGTTTGTATTGACATGTGGCACAAACTCTTAACAAGTAGGGTGTTGGTATTCTGACTCATACTTCTGACTCTTAGGAGCCTGGTTAATTTGAGTCTGTCCTCAAATGAACGATTCATTTTTATTTTCTAGACATGCACAGCTGGAGACAAGACCATGGAATGATGCTAAATTACCAAAGTAAGTGTCTACTATTTACTATTCTCAGATTTTCAGATCTCATTCATCTAGCCTCTCCCAGCAATAGCCCAGTCTCTCTACTCGCCTTCATTCTGTGACAACTCTGATGCCAGAAAAGGCATTCACCAGCAATACTTATGGCCATGCTGAAAAGATAAGTAGTCTTAGGGATTTAATTATTTAGGTTTAATAAGATAGTACATTTTAAAAGAATAAAATGCATGGTTCACTTCTGGAATTTTTGATACTGATTTTACCAACCTTAACCTTCACTACCTGCTGAAATAGCAGGTAGATGGCTGCTAGGGTGGACTGTGAGATAGTGTGGTAAACACCCAGAAACATGGGGCTTTCAGGCTTTTAGTTGTCAGGTTCTCATTCTGCTTCTGAAAACAGGAAACCTCTTGTTCAGCTTCCTTTTCATAAAATCAGCTCAAACCTGATCATCAGAGCTTGGAGAATGGGAAGTAATTCCAGGAGACAAACAGATATACTTTGTTCAGAGAATCTGAGTCACAAGGAAGGAGGGTGCCTGGCATTACAAACACTGGACACAGTTGTTAATTCTCAAGATCTACTATTCTATGGCTTCTGTCACCAGTCACTCATTTCAGTGGTTTCATTCCGGAGTTAAGCACTGTTTGCAACAGCTGTAGGAAACACAGGAGAAACAGTTCCTGGTGGATTGGTGAAGATCTTTATAAGATCTTTATCCTGATCCAAAAAATGGGGGTCGGGGGGAAGGCCACGGGGAGAAATAGAGATAGAGACCGAGATTACTTGTTGGGAGAGTAAAATAAGTGATTCAGAATAGTGGCACCCATGTGGCTCAGTCGGTTAAGCACCCAACTCCGGATTTTGGCTCAGGTCATGATCTTAGGGTCCTGGGATTAAGCCCCATGTAGGACTCCCCATTCGAGCTAGGAGGTCTTTGTCTCCCTCTGCCCCTCCCCTGACTCACTCTGCTTGCTAGCATGCTCTCATTCTCTAAAATGAATAAATAAATCTTAAAAAAACAAAAAAACCTAAGCTGGTTACTTACCTAGGAGTGACTCCTTATCTCAACCACCTGGAAAGTTTTTTGGTTTTTTGTTTGGTTGGTTGCTTTTTTTTTCCCCCCCAAATACACAGGTCTTGACAACTCCCTTATAGTATCTGATTCAGGGGATCTGGGGTCTTCCCACAGACCTATGGATTTGTAAAGAGCTGCCCTGGTGAATCCTGTGTGTCTTGGAAGTTAAGAACCACCCCTTTGGAGATGAATGTCTTTATATATATGTCAAGCCAGTCTCCCTGGCTATCTAGCTAAAATCATCTCTCTACCCAGGACTCTGGAACTTTGGATCATTTTTCACTTTTTCCTCTTACATTCTTGGAGAGGAGGTTCAAATTCTCTCAGGATACTGCTGGCTTAATTAGATTTTCAGGCTCAAAACACCAGGCATGGCCGTGCCTTTTTCCCCTGGTGAGTTGTGGGTACTTACTGCAGGGTATGGGTAATATAGAGAGCACAAACGAATATCGCCCTGACATGTGTTTGTTGAGGCGGCTCATAAAGGTGGGAGGAGCAACAGTCAGCAAAGGTAAACTTTTGGAGCTTTTAAAAGTAATTAAAGAACATTACTCCTGGTTCTGTATATTAGGGACGTTAGGCCTATAGACATGGGAGAAAGTAGGTCATGAATTAAAACTTTTGCATGCTAAAGGAAAACCAATTCCCATTACTATATGGTCTACTTGGACTCTTATTCGCTTCGTTCCAGACCTTTTGCAAACCCCAGTGTCTCAGGTAAAAATTGAAAATGGGGTGGGCCCAGGTGGAACATAAATCAGTATTTAAACTAAGTTATCTGCACTAAATGTAAAACTTACTCTGTAGAGGTTTGCTGAAGGTCAAATAAGCTCATATTATCTCTTGGAATTTGTTAACAAAAAGATGACTAAACTAATAGTTGTCTTTCTCAAAGTTTTCATGGGTAATTGTTAAGATAGCTTTTGAAGTCTTCAGTAACCTGAAACTTTAGTTTTGCTTGGATGACAAATGAAATTAAATTGGTTGGACATCTAGGTCTTTTCGAAATGGGATAAAATGCTAAAGCATTGATTACTGGACATAGTTTTGTGCTTTTGACTTACTGCAAAGAACTAAGGATATTTAAATCTGTTGGTAAACATGTTTTGTGCTTAACTAATTCACAGTTTGATATCTAAAGAATTCTGGTGTAACAGTTTACAATTGGCTACTCCTTAGTCTTCACTGAAGATTAAGGTCTCTAAAGAGTGCAAAATTCTGCTAACTGTAACTAAGACTGATGGAAATAAGGGAATCAACTCTATATGTGGAAAAGTAGGAGATATGTAAGACAGATAAGGAATGGGAATGCATTTTTGTTGAACATAAAAGAAGGTAATTTTGTCCTAAATGAGATGGTTGTTTGGAAAGAAATGGCTTGGGACAAAATCTGAATGCAAAGGAAAGTTGTAGAAAGTTTGTGAAGGGAAATCTTTGGAAATTAATTTTAGATGTGTTCAGGATGGACTAAGATTGAAATGAATGAATTTTAAAGACACTGGTATAAGACTGAAAGTCGGCTTTCGCTCTGTTCAAAAAGACAAAGCATTCTCAACTGTTGTTCTGCTCTTGATAAAAAAAATTCTGCAAATAGTTGTTTGCTTTCCTTCCTGCCTACAAAAACCAGTTTCTGTGTCTTACCTTTATCAGGTTTTAAGGTCCCTGAACTATTTAGGCATGTGCTTTAAAACCTCCTAAGGTTTTAACAAACATCCCCAAGATTTAAATCATGAACAAAGTCTTAATAACTAATTAAGCTTGCTTGTTTGGTATATAATGTTCTAGTTCTGGCTATTAAAGTGTTATGTGTCACAGAATTAGACTTTCCTTGTCTAATTATATCATAGTGAACTTTTCTATCAGATCATTAACAATGTCCATTTCTGAGGGGTTTTTTTTGTTGTTTATAATCGTTCTTACTCTCTGGTAAAATGAGTTTCATTTCAAGGAGAGTCCCATGAAGGACTTTTAGGACAATACAGGTATTCAGTATCTCTAAGATCAGAACTGAAATATTTCCACAGCTAACTAAAGCTGCATTCAAGCTAAACCAGAATAACTAACATGGAACTAAATAAAGAGTTTATAGTGTTGTGACTCTTGTTTGAAATGTTGCTGGTTCTCTAATGTTTGCTCTTCCAGACTAAGGAAACTTTTTCTTAAGATATCTGTGACTTGTAGAAGTGTAAAAATACTCATTTGTAAACAAATCAAAGCATTCAATCTTTCTCTCTACCCATACCCTCAAATTCAAAGGTCTCAGTGAGTATTCTTTCTTCCATGATAATCCTGGTCATTTGCATAAGTTCAGTAAGAATCTGTTCTTGTAACAGGACACCACTGGAAACATGGGTCATTTTACCAAGGCGTTGACTAGAATGTCATATTTGAGAAAGACATGCATAGACTCAGATATGACCCAACAGCTTTAAGGAATTGAGGTTGGCTTTATGAAACCTGGAGCCACAAAGCCCCTAGGAACTGTTGGCCTGATACCTTGCTTACACGTTCCCAGCAGCCTCACCAAGTGGGTAATGAATGTCACTTCCTCGCAGGTGCAGGAACCTCAGGATACTCTGGAGACCTCAGGAAGAGGAATTCCACCCAAATCCACAGTTACTGCAGGCATGTCTGATGGCAAATATTTGACTTGGTTTCTGGCCTAGAGCTACTAAAAGTTCAACCTAGAGATTCCTTATAAAGTTCTAGCAAAGCAGATTCTAAAAGATCTGTATGATCACTCACTGTTCTTGCTGAATTTATGTAAATAATTAGGCCAAGGTTGTTAAAACTGGACTTGTTTTTTCAAATAAACTAGTCCTGGTTTGGCTATCTTTGAAAATGAGGGCTATTTAAGAGAAAAAAATTATTTAAAAAACACCCACCTTCATGATGTTAAATTCTAGATTTGATTGTCTTTAAATTTTGTAGTTTACCTAAGCTAGACAACTGGATGTAAGCTTCACAGAAATTACCACAGTAACTCCTGTATAGATGATCTTTTACTTATTATTCTGTGGGGATAATAACAGAACCCCACGGACACATAATTATTTAAACAGCTGGAAAATGGGATTAATTCCCCAACAATTGTGTAACTCAACTAGCACCCTGACCAATTCTGTGTGGTGTGGATAATGAAATTATTCCCTAAAAGCCAGAGCATATCCCACTCCACAGGATTAACTATGGACTTGTGGAGATAATGGATGGCCCCGCTTCCTTTATGATTGGATTGGATTATGCACTTGGGGATAGCCTTATCTCCTGAGACAAACTTTCTCCCACTTGCCACTGATCCTTTGTAATTAGAATATTAACGTTTTACCTCAAACAAAGAGGTCTCGATGGTATTATTCCTTAGTCACATTTATCCTAGAAGCCACCTCTTTTGAGGTACAGTTGCAAACAAAGGCTTTAGCTAAGCATAAAACAGCCCTCCTGGTAAAAGGAGCCTCAAAGCTCACTATGGGACAGTCCCTGACTATAATGACTTCACGTGGGCAGATGATCCTGACCACACACAGAGACACTTTTTTTTTTCTCCACAGAGACACTTCTTTACTCTCGGTGTTGGATTCATATGCCTCCATCTTTTGTAACTCCCCTATACACTCCCCAGCTGACCAATGTTGACCCGAGTAGGTAGGGACAAATCTATGCCCTATTCAGCAGGAAGAAGTTACAGAAGATGAGACCTTCCGCCTTCAGGAACCTTAAAGATTTAAGGTAAAAAAAATTGTTCAGGGGGAACAAAAGGCAAGAGTCTGTTATTATGGTTCTACGTCAAAAATCATCTATTACCAGTCTCTCAGCACAGAAATCAGAACTAAGGACAATGATTACACCTTAATAAATAAATAAGTAGAGAAGGAAAAAAAGAGAAAGGAAAGGAGGGAGGAAGGAAGGGGGGGAGCCAGCCAAATCTGAAGCATCACCTAGTCTGAAAAACTGCAGCTATAGCGCCACCTGCTGTTAAGTTTGAAACACTGGCAGGTGATCAAGGACCCTGAGAAAACCTAAAATGTTCCTACAATATCCTACGAAACAACCAGAAATAACAAAGGCAGTGGAAGCTTAGCATGATGCCCAGAAAGTAGGGCATGAGTGAAGAAAACCTATCTCAAGCCAACAATACTAGTTCTCCCCTGTGAAGACTAAATGCTAGAGGTGGATGTAAAGGAAGGATTCTCCTTTGAGAAGCACATGAAAGAAATCAAACCTGACCACCTCCTACTCCATCCTTCAGCCTTGCTGCCTGCTTGGTTGTGCTAAGCCGTGACTTCTGATGAGCACTACCATCAGTGATCACTACCATCAGTGATCAGTTACATCTTACGTGTTGTTGGCTTGTTCACGCCTCGCAGCAGGAGTATCAGTAAGAGACAGATTAAAAGGCGTTTTGAGACCTAACACTACAAGAGAAATCTAGGTCACGTGGCCTCTGGTGCGACAGTTCTTAAACACCATCAGCTAGATGGGAGCATGTGCAAAGCTACACAGCCTCTTGTCTGGATGGTCCACTCAAAAGCCGCACATAGTTATGACTGAGCTGTTTGTATCATGGCATTGAGACGTCTTTTGCAAGAACAAACATCTAAGAGGTATCCTTGTGGTGCCCCCAACCTCACCCCAGCCAAAGGCAAGACAGAAAGCTTTAGAGATATAAACACGCACACACAGCTGGTCATAGGTAGTCTCACTTGTACGGGCAGAAACCCCTTCAACCGAGCAAAATCCAGGCTCAGTCTTGAGCCCATAGTTGAAAACATCAAGAAACCTTATTTCTCTACCTTCTCTATACTTACCCCCTGCAATTGGTAAAGGCAGTTAGTTGTCTTCCTAACCGACCTCTTGTTCAAAGCACGTCTGGATTCTTCTCATAATAAGTACATTGGCAAAATTCACAAAAGCAGTAGAAACACATACTGAGAGTGATATTCAAAATGTAGTCATCCAAGGATACCATTAGGATAACTGAACAGGTCAAATCTGACTCATGACATTAGAAGGAGAGACCAAGATATTGCAGGGGACCCATTGTGGTAGGAGGTAGGGGGATGAAGGCCACACTGTTTCTACTCCCTAAGACAGGTCACTCAATGCTACTCCCTAAAGTCATCCCGCCTTTCCAGCATTCTTCAGCAAAGCATAAGGACCATCCCCTCTGAGAATGAATGATCTTAGTAAACCTTCTGACCTACGGAGCATGGACTTTGAGATTTAACCACGGGGGACAGGGTGGGAGAGGGTTCTCCTGGCAGAGAAATGAATCTCCCTGGAGTCCATGGAGACACAGTGGCCTGCTGTTAGTACTTACTCAGTTTCTCCTGTGCCTTGTCGCCTCCTCCAGCCTTCAGGTCCCCTCCCTGCCTCTAGCCAGCTTCTATCCCTAGTCTTCAGGGTCATCAGGTAGAGAAGCAAAGTGGATATTAAAAGCAGCTCCCAGAAGAGGAGGTAAAGGATCTCTAAAGTACTTCCTTACTGATTGTAAAGTGTTGCACGTTAGTGACTCTGGTGGGTGTTATGCTACCAGTGACCAGTCTCTTACTATATAAGTTTATTTGCTCCCTAATCTAGTCCTGCTCCCTGTAGGAACCCTTGTTAACAGTTTCCTATGTATCCTTCCTGTGTCCATATTGTAGCATATCTAATATGTACATTCTAGTGTGTGTGTGTGTGTGTGTAGGGTGTACACACAATTAGGATTTTATGATACTACTGAAGATCTGCTTCCCCTCCACTTAAAAGCAATTTGTATGCCTTTGTATATCAACATGTAGAGATCTATCTTTTATTTTTTATTTTTTTCCCATCTTATTTTTAAATAGCTACCTACTTTCCTGTTGTATGGATTTGCCATAAATGACTTAATCAGGACTCTATTGATAATTGTGGTAGCAGCAAGTATCCTTGGACATACAGGAGCATATTTGTAAATAAACATTTACATCAATACTAGTAGTGGAACTGACAAGGAAAAGGGTAAGTACAATTAAAAATGTGAGAATGACATTGCAAAATTTCTCTAAAATCATTGTGTTGATTTAAATTCCCAACAAGTGTTTATGAAAGTGCCAGTTTTCCCATCAGTATCACAACTGTGGGTATTAACAGACTTTAATATTTTGCAAACCTGAAAGGTAAAAAGGGGCGGCCAGTTGTTCTGATTCACATTTCTTTAATTACAATAGAGGGTAAGCATTTTCCCAATTTATAAGCTGATTGAATTTTACCATGAGTTGTCTAGACATAGTCTGTTCATTTTTCTATTGGCTTATTTCCTAGTGATGTAATAAGGACTCAGTAAATTAAGGGCACTGGCCCTTTGTTATAGTGTTGAGTTTATTTTTCTCAGTTTCTCACTTGTCTTTAATATTTTGCTTATAGTTGATCCTTTTTAAAGTAAGTTTTTAGGCTTCCATGCATCTCAGGTTTTATGTCATACTCAGAAATACCATTTCCCACTTAAAAATTGTTGTTATTATTTCAAAAGTCAAATTCTAACTTTCTTTGCATTAAAATATTTGTTCCGTTCAGAATTTTTTTTATTTAAAGAGCTAGGCTGATACCAATTTTTATCAAAATTTCCTCAAAAGCACATCCATAGTACCAACACCATTTATTGAATTCTTCAGTCATGATTTCAAAAGCCACTTTTATCATATTTTTAATTTCCCAAGTGTATCTGAATGTATTTCTGACTCTATCCTGCCCCATAGATTTATCATAGTTTTTGTAATATTAGTTCTCTCTCACTATTCTTTTGGGATGTTTATTTTTTCTAGACTAATTTTACCATCAGTTTGTTAGTCTCTTACCCCACTAACCCCATTTATGTAGCTAATTTGATTTGATGTCATTGAAGAATTCGCCTCCTTTCAGCTAGAGGTACATATTTCCAATCTAAGATCTCATGTTGGATAGCTTCTGATTTGCCATTTTCAGAGCGGTGGGTTACGGAACAGTGATATAGACCAATATGAAAACTTTCACATCCACTGATTTTAAAATCAAGACTAAAAAGATAATTTAAGCCAGGATACTGAATATAAAAGCAAAAACCAACAGTTCTTTTAAGAGATGTATATTTGACTTCAGTGATGTCAGTTAATACCATTAAAGTGAACAAGTCACTAAGGCTTCAAAATAGTCTCCAAGGAAATAATATTACTTGCTGTCCTGGACTCTCTGAACCAGTAAGCTAAAGTGCTGATAGTGAGCCTCCCAGTTCTAAGTTCTTTATGCAGGAAATCTCCTCATTATCAGGTTGCTGCAGCTGATGTGCAAAAATGGTAGAAATGGTCCTTGATGTTCCATAAAAAATTGAAAACGTTTGTTTGTTTGCCACACAACTTTTTACTGTGCATGCTGTTTTCTCTTCCACATGGCTGAAGAATAACTACACTGACCACTCAGACTGAAGAAGGAGGAGAATTTTTTCATTCATATGAGATCAAGTGTATGAACTTACCGTTAGCATATCATCACATTTCATATCTGGAGTATCACCGTCTTCACTTTTATTGTAGAATTTCCGGAAAAAATTGAATGCCACAACAGTATATAGGTATACAACAACAGCTAATAAGCCAACAGTTAATACAAGCTGGAAAGCAAGGTGACAGTGAACATGCATTAGAAAATAAGACATATATGCCTGGCATATTTGACATCAGTGTGGGAGGAAAGCATTCTATGAGCACATAGTTGGATCTATGGACTGGAAAGTAATGGCATCCATACCTTACTCCATACCTTTCTTACCCCCCCCCCCCGGGGAGGATTTATTTTCATATTCTCTTTATTTTATCAAGTTTTCAGACTATTTCATGCAAAAATTGCCTACTTAATTGGCTAGTAAATGCATACTACAGCTGGAATAGGAATAAACTCTGATTTATTTTCATGTCCAAGTTGATCAGAGCATATAAATGTTGAAAACATAACTTTCACCAGGTTGGTGAAATTATGTTTCTGGTTTTATCACAGAAATTCTAAACACACCAAAATGAATTCTTTTTCTTTCTACTTCCTCTGACTACAGTGAATGCCTATGTTGTGCCCTGTGGCAGCACATCTTAAGTCGTTCAAAAATCACCTTAAAATTATCTGGAGAAAACATGTTATCTGAATAGAGGGCTTAATTCACTTCTACAAATTAAGTACAATGCCACTGTAAATTTCTGCATGTTTTACCTGTAAGTCTATGAAGCTTTCTAGATTGCTGCAAATGAAAAACTGATAGCTCAAAAAAAAAAAAAAATAAAAAGGAATAATCACAGCAGAATTTTAGAAGTTAATTGAAACTAGTGCCAGAACTTTTGTGTGAAAATATACGATAGATTCAGCATCTTCAGTTTTTTAAGTATTTGAGGAACTCAATACTCTAAGTGAATAAACATAATATACTTTTTTGCTAAAGTCATACATTCAGAAACTAAAGTGACATGTAAGAACAATGTGTTGAAATTTGGGAAACTAAAGATCATGAAAATTTAACTGTGAATCATGTGAAATTAACAGTGGACATGGTTCAAGTTTTTTGCAGGGGCATGGATTTAAAAATATGCTGGATTATAAAATTCGGGGAGAGGACTCTGTTAAGTCAAATAACTGACATAGAATGTGTTACCTCCCAGTGGATACTGGATAGAGAATGAATCAATTAATACATGCTTCTACAGTAAAATGACATTACAGTTGGACTCCATTGAAACATAAATTGATTATTTGGAACTAAACCATTATAAGGTAAGTACTCTAGGTATGACCTGTCAAGTGTGAAACATTATTTTTTTCCACCCAATTTAAAAGTGGAGAAAAGAATACCTAGATACCCACTTTTGAAATAGTATGTTAAAATAAGAATGTGGCATGTCGTGTTTTATTACTGTTACAACTAGTGGCTCTGGATGCTATGACATATTTTGGTTCCCTCTGGTATCAAATGGAGTAAATATTGTATTGGGGAAAAATGAACTATTTCCTGGGGGTGTTTTGTATGTGTTGGGGCCTGTGCTAACACCCCATAATAACACTTTTATGTTTTTATTTAATTTTCCCCCAAACTCTAAAAGGCAGGTACTTTTATTGTATTCATTTTACAAAATGAGTAGTTTTAAAAATGTTAAGTAAGTTAGTTATCCAAGGTTACTCAGTGACTCAGTCAAGCCCAGACTCGAATGTGGGTTTAGGGGGACTCTTAATAACTTTCATGGTTTATAAAAGAAAAGTACAGATCCTCCATTCACAAAAATCTGTACGTTGCCATTGGAGGTTGGGTTTCTTTAGGTTAGTATATTTGTTGGGTTTTTTTGGTTTTTGCAGGAGGGAAAAAAAGATCAACTTTTACCTGCTTGCCATTGTGAGTTACCGATGACAAGATGGTTCTTAGCGTCTTAAATCCCATAGCAATGTCAAGAAGATGAGCAGCAAAAAAGAAGTTATTATAGTGTCCAAGAACGGACATAGTCATATACCAGGCCAGGTAGAGGAAGGACTGAGAAGACAAAACAGGAGGGAAGCATATTAGAAGATAGAATGAGTGACTATTATCAAAAGCTACTCTGATTTCATTCTACTATAATCACTTCATTTGCCCGGCTAGCTCAGTCGGTAGAGCATGAGACTCTTATAATCACTTCATTTACTCCCTTCTTAGTCTATACATTTATATCATTCTAATTAGTTATATCAGTTTGTGTATTTTATTATCCTTTAGTTTGTTCTGAGAGATTCAATGTCCCTTCTCTCCTTTATAACAGAGATAATGTTCTTGAGAATTTTCCCCACAAAGTTTTATTGACAATATTTGATAATAAGGGATCTCCACCTATGCACTACTGACAAGTTTACACTGGGTAATTCTTTGTTGTGGGGACTGTCCAGGGCATTGTAGGATGGTTAGTAATAACCCTGGTCTCTACCCATCAGATGCCAGTAGCAGCTCCTCCATAGCTATGGCCACTAAAGATGTCCCCAGACATTGCCAAATGTCACTTTGGGGGACAAAACTGCCCCTGCTGGGACCCCCTGCTCTAAAGTCAACCAAAGAACCAACCAGCTTACCTTCCCTATTTTTCATTTACTTAACTAAATCAGTGTTTGTTGAGACCTACTAGTTAGATTATATGTGATGTCTTTTTTTAATTAACATATAATGTTATTTGTCCCAGGGGTACAAGTCTGTGTATTATCAGGCTTACACACTTCACAGCACCCATCATATCACATACTCTCCCCAGTGTCCATCACTAAGCCACCCTATCCCTACCCCCTCACCTACCCAGCAACCCTCAATTTGTTTTGTGAGCTTAAGAGTCTCTTAGGGGTTTGTCTCCCTCCTGATCCCATCTTGTTTCATTTTTTCCCTCCCTACCCCCCAGGATACACCACACTCTCTCAAATTCCTCAGAGAGATCATATGATAATTGTCTTTCTCTGATTGACTTATTTCCACTTAGCATAATATCCTCTAGTTTCATCCACATCATTGCGAATGGCAAGATTTCGTTTCTTTTGATGGCTGCATAGTATTCCATTGTATATATATACCACATCCTCTTTATCCATTCATCCGTTGATGGACATCTAGGTTCTTCCCATAGTTTGGCTATTGTGGACAGTCCTGCTGTAAACACTTAGGTGCACGTGCCCCTTCAAATCACTAAATTTGTATCTTTAGGGTAAATACCCAGTAGAGCGATTGCTGGGTCATAGAATAGCTCTATTTTCAACTTTTTGAGGAACCTCCATACTGTTTTCCAGAGTGACTGCACCAGCTTACATTCCCACCAACAGTGTAGGAGGTTCCCCCCCCTTTTTTTTTAAGATTTTATTTATTTATTTGCCAGAGAGAGAGCACAGAGGAAATGACAGGCAGATGGAGAGAAAGAAGCAGGCTCCCGTTGAGCAGAGAGCCCGATGTGGGACTCGATCCCAGGACCCTGGGATCATGACCTGAGCTGAAGGCAGAGGCTTAACCCTCTCAGCCACCCAGGCGCCCAGAGGTTCCCCTTTCTTGGCAGCCTCACCAACATCTGTCATTTCTTGACTTGTTAATTTTAGCCATTCTGACTGTTGTGAGGTGGCATCTCACTGTGGTTTTGATTTGTATTTCCCTGATGCCAAGTGATGTTGAACACTTTTTCATGTGTCTGTTGACAATTTGGATGTTGTCTTTGGAGAAATGTCTGTTCATGTATTCTGCCCTTTTCTTGGTTGGATGATTTGTTCTTTGGGTGTTGAGTTTGATAAGTTCTTTATTGATTTAGGATACTAGCCCTTTATCTGATAGGTCATTAGCAAACATCTTCTCCCATTCTGTCAGTTGTCTTTTGATTTTGTTGACTGTTTCCTTTGCTGTGTAAAAGCTTTTCCATTTTTGCCCTCGCTTTCCTTGCCTTTGGCTGTGTTTCTAGGAAGAAGTGCTGCAGCTGAGGTTGAAGAGGTTGCTGCCTATGTTCTCAAGGATTTTGATGGACTCCTGCCTCACACTGAGGTCTTTCAACCATTTTGAGTCTGTTTTCGTGTGTGCTGTAAGGAAATGGTCCATTCATTCTTCTGCATGTGGCTGTCCAATTTTCCCAACACCATTTGTCAAAGAGACTGTGTTTTTTCCGTTGGACATTCATGCCTGCTTTGTCAAAGATTAGTTGACCATAGAGCTGAGGGTCCATTTCTGGGTTCTCTATTATGTTCCAGTGATCTATGTGTCTGTTTTTGTGCTAGTACCATACTTTTGTGGTGATGACAGCTTTGTAATAGAGCTTGAAGTCTGGAATTGCAATGCCACCAACTTTGGCTTTTTCAACATTCCTCTGGCTATTCAGGGTCTTTTCTGGTTCCATATAAATTTTAAATTATTTGTTCCATTTCTTTGGAAAAAATTGATGGTATTTTGATAGAGATTGTGTTAAATGTATAGATTGCTGTAGGTAGCATAGACATTTTCACAATATTTGTTCTTCTAGTCCATGGAACATTTTTCCATTTCTTTGTGTTTTCCTTAATTTCTTTCATGAATACTTTATAGTTTTCTGAGTACAGAGTCTTTGCCTCTTTGGTTAGATTTATTTCTAGGTACCCTATGGTTTTGGGTGCATTGTAAATGGGATTGACTCCTTAATTTCTCTTTCTTCTGTTTTGCTATTGGGTATAGAAATGCACCTGATTTCTGTGCATTGATTTTATATCCTAACACTTTACTGAATTCCTGTATGAAGTCTAGCGGTTTTGGAGTGGAGTCTTGGGTTTTCCACATAAAGTATCATAACATCTGCAAAGAGTGAGAGTTTGACTTCCTCTTTGCTGACTTGGTTGCCTTTTATTTTTGTTGTCTGATTACCAAGGCTAGGATTTCTAGTACTATGATGAATAGCAGTGGTGATAGTGGACATCCTTGCTGTGTTCCTGACCTTACGGGAAAAGCTCTCAGTTATTCCCCTTGAGAATGATATTCACTGTAGGTTTTTCATAGAAGGCTTTGATGATATTGAGGTATATACCCTCTGTCCCTATACTGTGAAGAGTTTTGATCAAGAAAGGATGCTGTACTTTGTCAAATGCTTTCTCATCATCTACTGAGAATATCATATCATGGCATATTCTTAATCAAGCATCTCACTTTATGTGAGCCAAAACATGTCGAGCAGAAAACACAGATCTCATGATACAATTGGTACTCTCTGTAGAAATTCTGATTACAATCAATGTAAGGGATTAACTTTTCAGAGGCTAGAAAATGTATATGCTTTTTGAGGGGAGGGGAATGAATAAAGTAGAGGAAAAGATACTGTGATCATGCTTACTTTTTGGATTAGAGTCTCTTGGGCAAAAGTTATCTTTTTGCCAGTAGGGTTGGGAGCTACCTATTTTGGGAAGGGGTGGAAACCTCCATTTTGACCAGAGTGTATCTTAAGCCTTAGAACAAAAACAAACAGGGGGCTGAGATGGTACAGAGTTTTTATGGGCAGCTTGGGGCTTACGTTAGAAATCAGGCTGAAAAAAAAAAAAAGTATTTGAAAACAGACGCTGAGATAAGACTATGCAGAATGTGCTCCGTTTGGTTTGGCAGCGTTTCAGAAGATGAGTCGAAATGTACCCCAGGGTTGGAAGGCCTTAAGCCCATGTGAGGGGTGCGGGCACATCTTTTGGCCTATGGGAGCCCCTGGAGCATTGTACAGAATAATGGTGTATGAAAAGCAGCATCTTATGAAGAACATGTCTTGAGCACCTACCAAGTGCTGGTCACTGCCCCATATATTTGCACATACAGTCTCTCATTTTATTCTAGCAAGATCCCTGGTAAGGAGGCAGTTTTAGCTCCAAATTTACAAATGAGGAAAAGTGAGCTCACTCAGGTCAAGCAACCTCCTAAAAGAAGGTCTAAGTGGCAAAGCCATCATGTTGGGATACCACTGGCTGACCCCACGGGTGGGTGAGGTTTTGAGAGCCATGACTAGCAGCGGAACTGGCCAGGGCAAAAGGGAGAATCACTGAGGACAGAAAAACAATACGATTATTAAAATAATTAAATGTATATGTTGGAAGGAAAAAGAGGAGCCCAAGCTGGTCATTTGAGTGTAGAAGAATAAGACACTGAGAGAAAGAGGAAATGGCAGATAGGGCACTGCATTTAGTGGAAAGGGAGAGGGGAGATACATTTTTCATGGGACATCTGGATGGACACATCTAGCAGGCTATTAAGAAATGCAAAGAGTGAGGAGCAAGGACAAATTTGTGTGCATAAGATGAGTGAGGTGCCTAATGCAGGTGATAAACTGAGCCAAGGATACATGTGTAGACTCCACTTGGGCTCTGCTTAGACGGCCAGAGTTAGCAAATAAAAACACAGGCTTCCAAGGTACAGCAGAACGTCAGGTAAAGAAGAACTAACTTTTATTATTAATGTTCTTTAAGATTTTAGTCACTTATTTAAGAGAGAATATTTTATTTTTAAGTACTCTCCACACCCTAGTGTGGGTCTCAAACAACCCCAAGATCAGGAGTCATGTGTTCCACTGACTGGGCCAGCCAGATGCCCCAAGAATAAATAATTTTTAGTTTAAGTATGTCCCATGCAGTATTTGGGATGTCTACATTTAGTTATCTGAAATTTAAATTTAACTAGGAATCTTGTACTGCATCCAGTAACCTCAGCTGTGTTTCAGACAGATACTGCACTGTGAAGAATAAAGACATGTTGAAAGGTGACTGGCCAAAGAGAAGCCATGAATCTGCAGGAAGATGAATGATGTATCATAGTAATATATCGGGAAGAAATCTGTTCATGCCCCGATTCTCTGGACGAGAACTGCATGGCAAGAGGAGTATTACACACGATGCAAGTACTGTGGCATATGAGGGGGTGAAGGAGGACAGACCTCCAGAGGCCAAGATGGCACGGCTACTTGAATGGAAAACACCAGTGCTGGAGGTGAGTTGGTCTTTATACTCACAGGAGATGCTTCCATACTTACAAGACTTGTTTTGGGGCTCTTTGGAGAGTTCTCCAAGAGACCCAGAGTTCTAGGCCCATGGCTAGGTGGTGATAGAGGCAGGAGAATTTGGAGGGTGTCATGGGCCTTCAGGAGAATAGAACTAATGTTCACTGTAAAAGTCAATGCCAATTAGAGTGACATTTTGAGACTAAATGAGATGTCCAAGGGAGAAAGCACAGAAGCAAAAACAGTGGAAGGTCTAGGACTAAGCCTTTGGATATGTTCGTACGTTCCCCTTCATAGGTGTGTGAGGATGGTAAGAGGATTATGAGCCAGCAGGAGGAGATGAGCTGAGACCCCATGGCAAAAGTGTAGTTGATCCATCCAGCGGAGTTTTGGGACCATCTCCAGCAACTTCCCATAGAAAGCAAATGGAAGCATAAAAATAGGTGATGGTAACAATTTTTAAACTGAAAATTCTAGGGGCGCCTGGGTGGCTCAGTGAGTTGAGTGGCTGCCTTCAGGTCAGGTCATGATCCCAGGGTCCTGGGATAGAGCCCCGCATCAGGCTCTCTGCTCGGTGGGGAGCCTGCTTCTCCCTCTCCTTCTGTCTGCCACTTTGTCTACTTGTGCTCTCTATCTCTCTGTTAAATAAATAAATAAAATCTTAAACTGAAAATTCTAAAAGTCAAAAATGTTAGGCTGTGGAGCAAGCCATGGTAATAAAATGTGACTGAGCTGACAGCTAGTGGCTCTTAGTACTAGGGGATTTTTGTTCCTTATATTTGGACATACACTTGGGCCCTATGTTTTAGTTCATAGGCTCCTAGGCTCTTTGAGAAAAGGACTGATCAAGAATAAAAAATATAATAATTTAACATACTTAATTGGAGAAAAAAATTTATCAGTGTTTTTAAATTTTATTAACTTAGAACTTTCATTTTAACATCTAGAAAACTTTGAAGTATGCCATTGTCCAACTAAAACCTAAATGAAAATACACATGAATTTGCCATCTCAGTTTCTTTTTCTTATGTAAATATATTTTCATGTTAATCTTTTGGCTATTGAAAGAAATTGGATGAGAGATCAGCTAATTAACCATGTATTTCCCTGGGTCATTGTCAAGTAATGATCTGTATTAAATGAATTGATACTTGATTAACTTTCTTAAGTAACTGTTGATCCCTCTGCAGAAGCCCAGCAGACTCCTCTAATGTGAGTGTGGTGTACTTTATGGAAATGAAGGAGGGCTTACGTTGTCAGTGAAGACGACTCCGAGTTTCCACATCTGATACTTCACGTCGATAGAGTTCAATCTGGAAAGACAAAAAAGAAGAATTTGTAGGTATGTACATGAAGTGCTTTCTTGTCCTACATTAAATATAAGGTAAACTCATTTATGTGAGAATGATCTCTGGAAACTGCTAAATTAACCAATGTGTACATCAAGTATCCTCACTAGCTTTCATTATACATTGGTACATACATTCCAACAAAATAATTTTTACTTACACTGATAAACACTTGCATAAAGAGGCATATTCATTTTACAACTATTCTTAGTTTAGCAATGAAAGGGCTTTTTCATCTTGTTTGTGTTTCCTTTTGTTTTCAAAAGCCTCTCTACCCAAGAAGGGATTCACCCCCTTGGTTCCCAAAGCACCTTGTAGGCTTGGACTTACTATGATTTCCCACATTGTTTTGTGATTGTGGGTACATAGGTATCTATGTATGTACATTTATGCCTCTCTCCCTAGTCTGTGAGCTCCCTAGCCAACCAAGCACATTTATATCATACATGGAATATGTCTCAGTAAATACATGTTGAGAGAATAAATCTTAGCATAAGTATTTATGGTCTTTGCAGATTAAATACACACGTATTAAAACACACTTTCTATTTTCATTTTTTTCAGAACTTGCCACTGATTTACGGGTTAAAAAGTCTAACTTTGTTCGCCTTTCCAATATGCCAGGTATTTGATATAATGCAATATAATATTAGCATTATTTTCATAAAGGCTTCTCTAGACTTATTGTCTTAATCTTTGATTACTTCTTTACTCATTGAAAAATGCCGATCTTTTATTACAAGTGGTAGGATCGATCATGGCTAATCAAAGCTGACTTCTTAGGAGACTTCACACTCAAAAATTAAGGAATCAATTTTATTACTAAATAACATTTTTTAATAAAGATTTTTATAATGTATTTTAGAGAGAGACAGAGTGGAGGGAGGGGCAGAGGGAGACAGAATTTCCAGCAGACTCCCTGCTGTGCGTGGAGCCCTACAACGTGCTCCATCCCACAACCCTGAGATCAGGACCTGAGCCAAAACCAAGAGTCTGATGCTCAACTGACTGAGCCACCCAGGTGTCCCTGCGAAAGAATATTTTTAAGAGTTCTGTGAATATTTACAATGGGTTTCAATATAAGACTATATTTTCTTAATGCGGTAAAATGCTCAATGGCATGATTATTTCCCATGAAAGCAACCTAAAAAAAAAAAAAAATAGTAAGTATTTCTATCAGGATGCCTGAATGTCCTATATCAGTTTCTTACTTATTTAAAACACCATTCTCATTTTTCATCCCTATCAAACATTAGGATGACAAGATTGCTATCAATATCATGAAGCAGCATATCCTTTTCGTAGTGTGGGACACTCTTTTCTAACCAATCGGGGGCAGTCCTACTGTTTGGGTGGGCTGACCCACCCCCAGGGATGGGCCATACCTGATCTAGGCCAGCCAGGACATGTATTCACCTCACCACAGCACGTGGTTCAGGGGAAACTTTCAGCCAGAAGCTGAGGAATTTTGCTAGAGAATTTTGAGATACGGGTCCCCATAAAGACACAAATGAAAAAGATGCAGGCTGCTAGCTGTCATTCTGTCCCCAGGAGGTAATCTGGCCACTTATTTGATTGACAAGCCCTATATTTTTGATTGGCAGATAAATACATCACAAATAAATGAATCAATTTAAAAGTATTAATGCCTAAGGAAAAAAAAAACTAAGAAAAAAAATGTATTATGCCACATTAATTTCTTGGTCCTTTGCAAGGAGTCAAACTTGGAAACATTTCCTAGGTGAAACAATGGAAAATTCCCCTCATTTGAAACTATTTGTTCATAGTGGGAAAAAAACCCAACAATAAAAAAACCAGTCTGAACTTTACTTCCATTTTTTCAGACTTGTGTTCTAGGGTTATAAAGATGGCCAGGGAAAGTGTATAACACAGTGAAACTTGTTGATTCTACATTGTTTGTCAGAGATCTGAAAATACTAGTAGAAAGTCAGCACCACTCTGACCCTTGTTTTATCTGAAATTCTAGCATAAGGGTCTTAGTTCTAAGCAGCATCAGTGTGCTTCATTTTCTATACAGCGACACAGTCTTTAAGTCCCACATGTGTTTTTCTTAAAGCACCGAGGTGGTATTTTGGATCTAAATTTACAGTTTGTCATATGTTTGCTTGTCTGATTTTCAACTGAGTCCAAATTATTTTTAAAAACCACTAGCCCTGGGGCGCCTGGGTGGCTCAGTGGGTTAAGACTCTGCCTTCGGCTCGGGTCATGATTTCGGGGTTCTGGGATCGAGCCCCGCATCAGACTCTCTGTTCGGCGGGGAGCCTGCTTCCCCCACTCTCTCTCTGTCTGCCTCTCTGCTACTTGTGGTCTTTCTCTCTCTCTCTGTCAAATAAATAAAAAAAAATCTTTAAAAAAAAAAAAACAAAAAAACCCACTAGCCCTAACAACTTTTCAGATAGATAAAAAATATATGGCTGATAAGATAGGTCAGCCAAAGTGGTTTTCTTTTTTTAAATGTTAGCTAAAATATTTATCTGAGACAAAGTAATACTTCCCTACAGAGCCTCACATATCTACAGTTTCAAAGTCATCATCACATCCCTAGTTGGCTGAGACCATAAGTATATAAATGGGAAAGGCTGACTTATATTAAAGGAAAGGTAACTGTTACATTTCTTCTAAAATCATTTAAGTGGCTACAATAAGAAATTACATTTTTGTATGCATGTATGCTTAACATTTATTCCAGAATTACAGGTGATCTAATTTGCAAAATATATTTATATGTACACTCACACTATGTGTGTGTGTGTGTGTGTGTGTGTGTGTGTGTGTGAAATTTAGTCTCAGGCAAATTCAACTCAACTGGTTCACATCCTTCTAGTTATATAATAAATTAGTCCATTAAAAGCATGGTATTAGGAGCATCTCATTTTAAAATTAAATTTCCAAGTAACAGCATGACAGCATAGTATTTCTAGCATAGGAGTCTTTGCTATTTAAATGAAACACATTATAATAAAAGAATGTGAACTTTGAACATTTCTAATGAAAGGGCTACACAGATCCCTTTTCCAGAACAGAAGAAGGATTAACCTCTTTTCAGGCAGTAAGCATCAGAAAAGAAAGTCAAATATCATGCTTTTGCACATGTTTGACTTTGACTTAAGTGGCATTTAGGGATTAGAAAAAAATTAAAAACACAAATATTTATTTTTGCTTTATGTAAATAACAAAAAGTCACCTTCCAAAATTAGTAGGAAAAAAATCCAATCATTCCATAACTGAAAACACCTGCAAGTTTAAAGCAGACCTTAGGTATATCTTCTGTTTCCCTCCTCTCTATGCCTCAGACATTGAGGGAAAGGAAATCAGTGCACTAGCAATTTCAGAAATGTCTGAATTTCTTCTCCTTTCAGTCTATAGCTATAGGAAAGGGCATAAGCCGTACTCACACGGCCGACAGGGAGCTGTCTTTCTTGGGCTTCTTCTTCTCCCGGGCGTCGCTGAAGTCCAGAGCGGCTTTGTCCATGCCGAGGAGCTCGCTGATTCTGTCCCGGCCGTAGAACTCTCCGTACTTATCCATAACCTGGGGGACAGGAATAAAAGCACTTGACCCGCCTCATGCGTTAACTAACCCCTTGTATGCCTGTGTACACAAATATCTAATTATTTTTACACTTATTATATTTTTGCTTTTGTTCAAGTTCACTTGAAATTCTTGTTTATGGCTCCTTGTCTGTGATCACACTGCTTAAGGTCACAGCAAGCTTACAGAGTTTCAGATAATACCCCTCAGCGGAACAAGATTTCTTACTCAAGAGGAAGGCATTCGAAAGGAAGAGAGTAGGCCAAATATGTAAGAGAAGTAGAAGAAGATGGAATGAAAGGAACTTCAACCAAATTCCTACTTTGTGCCAGGAATCACGGTAAGAACTTTGACTTGCTCTCCCTCATAGGATTGTCACAGTATATAACTTTCCTGTTATTAGGATCCTACTCTGCAGATAAAGAAGTTGTGTCTTAGAAAACAGAACATGCTCAAGGTTGCTAAGCTTGGCAAGAGATGGAGTGAGAAAGCTATCAGGCAGGAGCTGACTCGCGGCCAAGGTCTGTGTAGACCACTGCTGACCAAGGGCAGGCCACTAGTGATGGCATCAGGATGCCATCATCCCCACCATTCAACACTCCCATCATTTCCTGACTGGAGCAGCCCTTCAGCAATCCCCAGAGCCTTGTCTCTCCCGCCCTTCTGTCTTCAGTGCAGTCCTAGCATAGGTTCCGGGGCACTGTTTGAATCCCTTCTGAGCAACCCCTGTCATCGCTCTGGCCCCTCTGTCCCTTGGCCACATGCACCTGGCCTGTTTTCAGACCAGTGCATAGACACGGGCCCACAGCTCACCCCTGAGCCCAGGGGGTGCCACTCCGCGACACAGCCAGTCTTGGCCCAATGCTAACGGACCACTAGAGTCCCCCACACAGTGGAAGTGGGGGCAACAAAAACAGTAAGGAGAGAAAAGCAGGAGAGACAACCGGCTCTGAGGGGTAAAGGGGGTAGGAAAGGAGGGCAGAAGGAGAGGAAGAAATAACATGGGGAAAGGAGGCAAGGAATGCCAGAGTGGGTGAAGCAGCACACTAATGGGAAGGAAGAAGGGAGTAGCAGAAATAAAATTCAGGGGCGCCTGGGTGGCTCAGTCAGTTAAGGGTCTGTCTTGATTTCGGCTCAGGTTGTGGTCTCAGGGTGGTGGGATCAAGCCCCGGATCCAGCTCTGCCCTCATCGGGGAGTCTGCTTGAGATGCTTTCTCTCCCTCTGCCCCTCCTCCACCTCGTTCTCTCACTCTCTAAAATAAATAATTCTTTTAAAAAATCAGTTTTCTCTAAAGGTGTATAATGAAAGTAAATGGAAACATGAAAGAGTAAAGAGTCTGTGAACACTGATTACAAAGGTTCGTGAAAACACTCATTCTGTGTCATTCTCCTGGCACTACAGATGGGCTGGGGTAAGCTGAGTGGGGGTTCCCTCTGGACCGTGTTCTCACCTCGTTCCCCGGAGAACAAACTGGGCAGCGCGCGCGCGCGCGCGCATACACACACACACACACACACACACACACACACACACACAGGAGTGCCACGAATAGTCCTGCTGCAATTACTGCTCATCTGATCCTGAATATGCAGTTTCTTTCTGAGAAACTTGTGCTTTAACAATTTAAAGCTGCTTCTTCATTAAATAATTAAGGAGACTAAAATGATCAAATTATCTATTTAAAATTATTTAAAAATAAGTCTTTCAATGTTTGGCCTAGTTTGGATGTGCTCCTAGGCAGTAGCTCCGTGCTACTCACAATGCCAGGTCACACAAAAAACTTGCACCAAAATAAAAAACACACTACTCTCAACTAGAAAGTCTTGCTATTAAGGGGGGGGGGGGGAAGGTCAATGGGTTTCATCATGTACCTGATTTAAACTTGTGGTGCAAGCCCTCCATCTGCCCTGAGACTGGTAATAGAGAATTTGCAGCTGCTCCTGGAGAACCATCCTGAGTAACACTGAATTGGTGAAATCAAAGGGGACAAGACCACTTCGTGCGGCCCCTACTTCTGCCTGTTCACTCCACAGAGCATCCCCTGGGGCTAGAACCCATTAAGGAGCAGAGGGTGAGCTGGGTCAGTTTGGCAATTAGAAAGGTTCAAAGAGTAAGTAGGAGCTAGAATGTAATCACTATAGTATTTTACGACATACAAGTAATGGTGCATATATTTCATTCAAAAATGTGATCTAACATTAAAATTCTGTGTGGGAAAAGCAGAGATGATCCTTGACTCAAAATCAGAGACTTAGCAGGTGCCACGGTGGACTACTGACTCTGTATCTGTGTTCTTTCCACTACACTCTGAGGCGGTGGGCATCAGAAGGATAAAACATGATGAAAATAAAAAGATCTTTGAAGTTTATATAAAGTAAATAAAACTTGATCCTTTGTTGTCATGCAAGGACTTGACTTCTGTAAAGTAGGATTCCAGCCCTACTGATTTATAGCTGTCTTATCAGAAAATGGCCATCAGCTAATTTATGTTACCCAAACAATCTCAGAAAATTCTCACCAAGTCCTGATACGGTGCAGACCGAGCACTGTTTATTTGCGGGAGTCAGAGGACAGGCAGATAAAACAGTGCTTATTTATCTTATAGCTACAGCGCATGCGTATTTTTTACATGCAGTTTTTTGAAATTCATATTCAATTCCACTGCCGCTTTGAAATGACATTGACAGATAAAGCACACCTCAATATTTCATTCTACATATGAGCCGCATCAAATTCAAATCTGAAGTGTGCTCTAGGAAAGAAACAGAATGCATTCTTTTTAAGAAGAATTACCTTTCTTTTAACAAATTTGTCCCAGTAGTTGTTGGGAAATGACCTAAAAAATACAAAAGCATAAAAGTAAAATAATATCATTTGAGAAAACAAGCAACAGTATATTGTTTGGACTATACAACATACTTCAAATAATACGTAAGATCTTTCCATTCACAAAAATCATAATTTATGTCCCATCTTATCCCATAATTTTTCTATATTTTAGGTAGATCAAATATTATTTAAATGTTACTCTATCAGTATATACATGCAAAATCACAAAAAGACTATGGGCTGCTGTTTTAGTAGAGAAGAATATGAACGTATTTATTAATAAGCAGTCTTGTTATATTTATTTACATGTCAGTATATGTCATTTGTAATGTCAAATACAGTCTTTCGTCAATTGTGTTTAAAAATTAAAGTACCTAAAAGTCTGTCATTATTTTTCCCATGAAGTAAAAAACATCTAATTCCCCCTGGTTATCCTTAAGGAAACTAAGCAAGGTACCAAACACCATTCTGGCACCTTGACTAACACTGAGTTCACTTAAAGGGAAAGACTTATTTGACTTAGTATAAACAGCTAGAGTTGATAAATTAAACATTTATAATGCACAAAGAAACCATCCCTATTTGAGAACTTGGAGTTTATAGAAATGTTAACTTTTTAAGAATAAGCAAAACTGGTGAAAATAAAAAGTATTTCAGTCTTGAGTAGTACAAACTACTCAAAAAGTATTGCATCACTAATACTTTTAGTGTTGGACAATTACACTTTTGTGATGAATTCATACCTGGAACAGCAGCTAGTAGTTTGGGTCTTGAGCTCACAAGGCTAAATATTTAGTGTACAGAAAACGTACTTGTTTCTCTGCCTTAAGTTTTACAGGTCATACTCCTCAACTCCTTTGATAACCTTGCTGCTTGATGGTACCGACAACGAGTTTACAACATAGATACGTCAAAAGTATGAAATTCAGTATTTTTGCTTTTAAGGCTACAACTCTTTCCCTAATTTCTGCCTCCTCTGTGCTTTTGGAGGAGAGAACCCTGCACTGTAGTTATGTACCTCTAACTGTGCTCTTCCCTGAACACTGAGTAATGGATGTCACATTCCATCAGTCCTGTGAAAATGGACTCAAAGCCATTTTTGATTAAGGAATTCAGAACACAGATGGGAAAAAATGGATGGCATCCATTAAGAAGCTGACAGTGCTTAGTCTTTTGATTTTCTTGGCTGAAAATATCACTATTATTCACCTCTGCTAAACTTTTGACAAATCTGTAAGAACTCCAGCATTTTTTTTTGTCTTAAAATTTTTGAACATAGAAATGTCTCATATAATTCTTTACTCACTGTGTGTTGATTACAAGTCTATCCCACTGGCCTTTAATATCATCTTCTGAAGGTTGTTCTGTAATATAAAGCCCATCAAATTCCAGTTTTCGAGCTACTTCCTTTTCTCGCTTAAAAATAACCAGTGGGACCTACATTTGAAGAAATAAACATGTTAAAATTAGTTTAGATTTACTGGTATCTCTTGTGGTCACTATCTGTACAAAAAAGCTTTTTGGAAAAAGAAATATTTCCCATGTTACTTCCAGGAACCAAAACTGAGTGAAAATGAATTGGTTATATTTAGGCAGAAAGGAATATCTAGAGGTTTTCGAAAAAATAGAAATGTAACAGATACCATGTACAACCCTATGTTTCCAAACACAGAATTTTACACATATTTGCACTAAAGAAATAATTTTTAAATATTAAAGAGAAGATCTATCTTTTATTACAATATGTTTGTTATATATCTTTTTATATATATGAGACACAAACACCTACAATAAAATATAGCAATGTTACCAAGGTTCCAAAATGTATGCTCCTAACAAGTGCAGTTTTATTTGCGAAATCTGATTCTATGCTCAGAGTGTCCAAAATGCATTTTGAAATAAACTTTAATTTCTGCAAAAATCTTTGTCAGTTTGCCCAAATATTTCCAGAATATATTGATTCTTATTGCCTCATCTGGACAGATTTTATGCAGGGCACAGATATGAAGAGGATGCAGACATTCTGGAAGTATTCAAGAATACCTCCTCCTGCCCCAACTCATAAAACAGGAAAGAAAAGGAGAGGAATTGCTGACGAATATTTTACACTATAGTCTTTAACTCCAGGCTCTGGTTTTTCAAAGTCTTCTAGAAGTTTCACAATCAGAGGCAGGGGACAGTGAAATAAAGTGTTACCATGAAAAGGGGTCTTGCTAGGGAAAAATAGGTTTACAAAAGTAATGGGCAGCCCTGAGCACTCAGAGACTCTTGAGTTCTATTCACCAAATTCAATTATTCTCTTGGCAGGGATCTAGGAATAGAGCTCTATTATTTTCTGGGTGAAATGCAACAAGCTATAAAAAGCATTTCTGCCATGAAGGCTTTAGATACATTCCTAACAAAGGACAATTCAAATGACTCAGGTTCCACATGACGTATTCTGTAACTCTAATACACCAGAGCATCGCTGGGACACAGGGTGGGTTACTTCTGTGGGGTCAAGTGTTGGTGAAACTGGCCATTATAGGAATGATTACCAATAGGAGACAGAAAGCTACAGTAAGAAGGCCCAAAGCCACCTGCCCTTGCAGGGACAGTCTGTAGCCAATGTGGAGCCCAGAAGACAAGCCTCCAATGCCCCAACCCAAGACAACCGTGTAGGGGTATCCCACCCTCACGGACTGAGGCCCGCGCATGTGCCCTGTCGTGTCTGAACGGTAGCCCCACTTGTCCCTCCGTTGCACTCTGCTTCCTTCCCTTGCCCCACAGATGTTGACTCATAGAACATTCCCTAATAATCTCCATGCAGGTAAATTTTTCCATCTCAGAGTCTGCTTCCCCAG